AGTAACCTCTGATTCCACTCCCGCCCGCACCAACCCCCACCCTCCTCACCTGAAAAAGTAACCCGATGGCTGAGGACCACAGCACAGGCCTCCGACGTGTGTCCCGGGCCCTCCAGCCTCCTCCGCCCGGCGCCTCACGGGAGGCGCCCACTTCGCTACCTCGACGCTCCTCGCACCTGGCTCCTCGCTCCTCCGAGGCAGCTGGGAACTGGTGCGCGGAGAAAAGGCCTGCCTCGCGGCACCTCGCCCAGGAGCGGCGCTGATTGGCTGGTCGCAGTGCACGCATGCGTGAATGGGCCGCTGGGCTCCGCCCCCCGGGGTGCTGAATCACGAGACTGCTGCTGAACCCAGAAGCACTTTGCGCGCTGGGGGCTTTGGGGGTAAAGGATGGCTTGAGGGCCTGTGGTTTTTCAGTTTTCTTTTTTTATTTTAAATTGTAAAAAATTTTTATAAAATTTGGAAGTTTGCGGAAGGCATATAGAAAGTTTTGGAAAAATTGATGAACCCCCCTACCCTAATTTTGGGAAGGGAAAAATTTTAACCGAAACCCAAAAAAAATCCTCCCCGGGAAATCCTTGCCGACACATTCCCCCATTTTTCACTCAGAGATAGTTTCCATTATCCTGGGTTTTGTGTAAATATTTGCCCCTCCCTCCCACTTCCCAAGTTTTGTTACCACAGATATGTGTCCTTAACCCTGTGTCGTTTCGTTAAGGCAGCACAGAACATTGTGCCATATGATTACACGTAGCCATGGTTCTTTCATCGTCGCTGCTGTACGTTCCGTGTGACTCTGTTCCAAATGCAGGCACTGACGTGCTGGTCCATGGGCAGGTGGGTTCTTTCAAGATTCCCAACCGCATACGCAATGCTGCTGTGAATGTTCTCATCTCAGGCATGTATGCTAACGTGGTTTGCTTTTTGCTTTTCTTTTTCGGTGAATCCTCACCCGAGAGAGCATGGCAAGGAGGGAGGGGGATAGAGAGAAAGAGGGACACATGGACTGGTTGCCTCCTGCATGTCCTGACTGTGGTTGGGGAGCGAACCTGTAACCCAGGCACATGCTTTTTTTGGGGGGAGGGGGGGATTCAATTCTTTATTAAGGAAATTTGATTCTTTTGTTACAACTTTTTAATGTGTGTTTGCACACATTTAACATGGGGGTGGGGAGGGGAAACCAAGAACAACCCACACCACCCTTTCCCCAGCGTCTGCGGCAGAAGCAGGACCGAGAACAGGGCTCCCGATGGGGCTTTCACTGGAACCCTGCCTGGCGCGCTCCGGCCCGAAATGCCGGCATAACCTGGGAACCGGGCTCTGGGTAGCCTCGGGGGAGCTCTGGGTCGCGGCCTCCTAGACTGTGTTGGGGGAGGCCTGGGTCGCGGCCTCCCGGACTTTGCCGGGGGAGGCCTGGGCCGCAGGCACCCGGACTTTGTCGGGGGACCGATGGGTCTCGGCCTCCCGGACTTTGCCGGGGGAGGCCTGGGCCGCAGCCACCCGGACCGCAGCGGAGAATTCCGGGCTCGGCCTGCTGGGCAGCGTTCTTCCACGAGCCTTGTGCCGGGAGTTGGCGGTGATGGTGAGCCAAGTTCATGATCACCTTGGATCATCCTTTTGGTCAGAAGGCCGACCGGACATCAAGATCTCAGCCTCGCCTTCAGGGTCCCGCTGATGCATGCGAAGCAGGGTCTGCGACACACACTGGATGTGCGGAATGTGCTCTCCGCCGGGGCCGAAGATCTTCCACCGGCCACGCCTCGAGGTGAACTGTCTTCGGGCTCTTGAGGTACTTACCCCGTGTGCAACCAGGAGGGCTGCTTCGCGCTGTCACCCAGCACCAGGCACGTGCTCTTGACCGGGAATCGAACACAAGACCCTTCAGTGTGCAGGCCCGATGCTCTAACCACTGTACCACACCAGCCAGCACAATGCTAAAATTTTTACAGTGTCTAGGTGTGAAGTTGCTAGGTCATAGGTTAGATGATATTCAATAATGCCAAATCGGTTTCCAATTTATACTCCCACCAACACAGGGAGTGCCCATTGTTCAATATACTCATCACCTGGTATAGTCAGATTCCTTAATTTTGCCACTTGAATATCTTTGGGGCCTTCTTTTATATTTCTCTTAATCACTCATAAGTTTACGATCTTGTTATGCTTATTAGATATTTGCATTTTCTTTTCACTAAAATATCTATTTTGGTTTTGCTCATTATTCAATTGAGTAGCATGTGTCTAATTGATTTGTAGGTCTTTATATATGCTGGATATTAACCTTCATGACCTCTGTATCTTTTTAAAGATATGTATCTTTATTCTGAACTCATAAAATAAAAGGTTTAAAGTTTTTCATTTTTAGTCTGTCATCTAG